ATATTTGTAACCAGATTATACATACAGGGTGTAAAAAGACACTTAACGAAGCCGTTAACTACGCATACTGCAGTTCTAACTAAGTAGCTTTACGCTAAAATTATCACTGGGAAACGACTTTCATTTTTAGGTATCAAAAAATAAAAATATTATTGCGCGCAATGTAATGCAAACGGGATTCGTGTCATTGTGTGCGTAGGTTCACAGCTTAGCATTAAAACGCTGTGATAAGTACGTAGGTCGACGTTTTACTTCGCAACAACAAAACAATTCTGTAAAATAAAAATCCTACTGAGATGCACGATGTTTTTTGTGCGGCTCTGCATTTATTTATTACGTACATTACGTAATTTATTTAGAAAAATCGAAAATTCAGGTAATGTTTGTTTGGCAAAAAGTTTTGTAATAATACTTAGAATTCGATTGCGCAAAAAAAATAAAAAAATAAAAATGCATCTTTGACCTTCAATATCTCGAGAATCCGTGGAGTCCCAGCTATGGTCTTACAGAAAAAAATGATCCAAATTATGGGTAGAATACGTGGCTTTCGGCTTCGTTATTTGTCTTTTTACACCCTGTATATTGGACCATATTTAATGGTTTGCGAGGCTTTAATTAAATTAATAACGTAATAAAACCTAACTCCCACTCGTGAAACGTTAAACAAAACTGGTAGTAATCAATTTTGATATTATACTGTTGGTGGCAGTAGCTGGTCGAACGGCTGCGAGGTATGTCGCTGAAAAGGACAATGACTTTGTGAGGAGCGAGAGAAACTGGGAAGCCGTTTTCGTGATGATCGTTAAGGAGAATACGGAGCGTTTTTTACTTGCAATAAACTAGTGCTTGACTGCAATTCCACCTGATGGTAAGCAGTGATGCAATCGTTGATGGTAAGACGCTCTGGTTTATTAAGAGCCTTGAAGACACCTAAATTATATTCGGACGGAAAGACTGCAGCCGGCAAACTGTTCCAATCCCTCTATGTACGCGGAATAAATGACGAGGCAAAACGCTTAGTCCGGGCCGCAGGTACTTGAGACACAACGTAATCATGCACCAGCCGCCAGAGTAGGTGACACTCCGAGCGTTGGGAATCGAGCGACGATCTCCGGCCACCGTAAGCGCAGTATCCGAAAAGTCTGAGGTCAAGCAAGGGTAGTTCGCCGCCCGACCAGAACCAGACCCGAACGAACGGCTCGTAGCGTTCCGCGCCCCAATGCGCCAACTTCAAAGAGCCAACTGACCACCTTAGATTGGCCCAACAGGGCCGGTGTTGCGGGTAGAGCGCAATTACCTTATTGCGCTCTACCCGCGGCCTTAAGTTTCAAAATAAACTCTTATACAGTATCAAAAAAAAAGGTGAACTATCATTGGTTCAATTAAAGTTGTTTTTATTAGGTATAGTATATTTTCTATTTAATTTAAGTTAAATCCTATTTTCTGCTAATATTATAAATTTGAAAGTTAGTGAGAATGTATAGATGTATATTTGTTATTTCACGCAAAAAGAGCTGAACCAATTTGTATGAATTTTGTTATGTAGACAGTTGAAACCCTAGATAGAAAGATAGAATACACTGGCTAACTTTATATTAACATATCACGCAGGCGAAGACGCGTGTGGAAGCTGGTACAAAATAAATTAGATTTATATTAAGTAACCTATGACGTCAAAATTTTGTGATGATGATGATGATGTTTCATTAGTATTGTATTTCAATTCGTGCGGTGTTGTTCAGTAATCACGAAATCTGGAAAGTGCCAAATACTTTCTTAACTTCCTTACGACTTCATAAAATTTGTATTATAAACAAAACCTACCAATTCGGGAAATAGAAGAAATGAATTATATTATATAAATAATAATTGAATACCCGTACATAACCAATGTCGCAATCAACCAATCCGTAACAGAATCAGATAACTGACAAATCAATAGATCAATTACGATTGGTCAGTACGAATGTTCCATATTCAAATCGTTGTAGCGCATTGGTGCGTTTAAATTTAGAATTTATTTGGAATGAGTTTTGCAACGGTTGCATTTTGCTGTCTGTTCGCGATTCCCGATTTCAATTTCGATATGAAATTAGTTTGTAACTTTGTTTTAATATGAGGACTGCCTTGTTGGTTTAGCAGTTTGACTCCCGGGCCAAAAGTATCGTTAAGTATTTTAGGCTTTCGAAAACTGTCATAAATAAAAACGGAATATAGTCATGGTGGCCTGGCCTTAAGGCTCCCGCTTCTCATGCATCAGGGTGCAGGTTCGAGACCTTGCAAGTACCAACGTGAGTTTGTCCGAGTTATAAGTACTTTCCATAATTATTTTGACACCACTGATATATAGGTATGATGAAGGAAAACAACGTGAGGAAATCTGGACTTATAATATCTAATTATAAGTTTGAAACCGCCAATCCGCTTTGAGCAAGCGTGGTGATTAATGCTCTAACCTTCTCCGTTTGGGAAGAGGCCTTTGCTCAGCAGTGGGCACTTATAGGCTGATGATGTCTGATGTGAATAATGGTTCATCATCATCAGCCCGATGTCATCCACTGCTGGACATAGGCCTCCCCAATTACATGCCACTGAGCGCGATGTTCAGCTCCTTTCTTCCAACCACTGCCAGCCACCCTGCGGATGTCGTCTGTTCACCTAGCTGAAGGGCGTCCTACACTACGTTTGCCTAATAATGGCTACTGGGTTTAAATCCAAAGTATCAGCATAGCTTCACACTTACAAAAAAGAACTAGTAACATGACTGAGAAAACAGCTATATATACACATCTCTTTCTAACAACAAGTTGTTATATTGATTTTAAAATCTATTATCGGCGCATACGCATTGAATCCGCGATAATAGCCTATTAGGACACGCCTATTGGCCATCTAATGCTCGTTAAGACACAAGTTGACCCTAGGTACAACCTTGATTTACTTCCACCAATAATATTACGGATTTTATTCCTTAATGGGGTAGTCAGACGTATTCCAAAAGAACGTACTTTTGTCAGTAACGTAATAAGTGTCTTTTTACCGACTTCCAAAAAAGGACAACTACTACTATGTATATTCGGCTGATTGTTTTGTTTATTTGTATACTCACCGATGTTTTGGTTTTTTTTATGTAATAGGTCGACAAACGAGCAGACGGATTACCTGATGGTAAGCAACCAGCGCCGCCCATGGACACTCGTAACGGAGGAATTACGAGTGCGTTGCCGACCTTTTAGGGATTAGGGTTTTGGAGATTAAGGGATTGGGGGAGGGGAAGGATTGGGCCTCCGGTAACCTCAATCACACGGGGAAACACCACGATGTGGTTGTTTCACGCCAGTTTTATGTGAGGTCGTGGTATCACTCCGGTCGAGCCGACCCATGCGGACGCATGGCTCTCCCACACTTATAACTTACTAGCTAGTCTCACGCGGTTTCACCCGCTGCTCGGCTCTATTTAATCATAGCGTGATGTTTTATAACCTATAGTACTCAGGAACATTGTAGCTATCTATCAGTAAAAGAATTTTGGCAATCCGACCAGCGGTTCCAAAGATTACCCCCTACATACAAACTTACAAATTTTACCTCTTTATAATATTAGTATAGAAAAATACTTACCAAAATTTCAATCCTCTGCCTATACTTCTAAAGAACATGAGATGTGTCTTCTTTCAAATACTTAATTGCCAGATGTCAATCTTGTTGACAAAGGTCAATGGATGCGCGAATAAATCATGATGCTTGGACAGGGTTCAAACTTGTGCCCATTCAACGAAAACCTGTTAGATAGGTCAAATGTACCGTCTGCATTTAGGTATGCAGGTAAGAAAATTAAGATGGAAATAGCACAGAGCCAGTTACACTAATAAAATCCAACTACGACAAAGACCGACGCTGAAAAAGTATAAAAAAAGATTTTCAAGCGTAGTCACACGTTATCAAAGTGCAGGTATGGTTAGTAAATGTAACGTGTGACTACGCCTTTCAGTATTCTGAAAATCTTGTTTTATACTTTTTCAGCGTCGGTTTTCGTCGTAGTCGTAGTCGGGTTTTAGTTTTTATACTGTTTATTATTTGTAGTATTTCGGTTTTAAAGTGTATTTGTGGCGCATAATATCGACAAAAGTTAAATTGATGAACTTATAAATATGTTTTTATAATAACTATCGTGAGACATACTAAATTAACTAAAAATCGCGGGTACTCACGTGTAAATATTGAGAAAAGCTCTACTAGTTTCGAACCACAGAGGGGTTCTTCCTCATGAGCAGCGTGCGCGGACGCGGCGACGTCGCGCAGCCGCGTCCGCGCACGCTGCTCAATATTTACACGTGAGTAACCCGCGATTTTTAGTTAACTTATAAATAATATTAAGTAGTAGAAGCTATGAACGAAAAGATGTCAATTATATGCAATCAGCCCATAAATACAAGCAAAGTCACAAGCAAATGCTAGTAATATTTATATATTCAAAATGTACAAGTAAAGCGCTTTAAAATGATACCAAACACGGTATAATTATCTTAACTTTATTTTTTTACTCTAGTTGTTTGGTCCGCTAGAGGACGCCGCATTAGATTTTGTGATACATCATATAGTCTATAACCAGCGGACAATTAAGACGTTTCTAATGATATGTCATACGTCGAATTCTTAGAAGTGAGGAGGGAACAGATGAACATAGGTACATACATGCATACACATAGCCTCCAAAATCATAACCCTCCTTTTGCTTTGCTGGAGTCGGGTAAAATTTAAGTCATATTTTTCAACAAATTAATCAGATGGTTGTTTAAGTTAATTCGGCGATTGCCAAATGCGACGCACGACAGAGTATGCTCGGGTCTGATTCGGGTCCAGGTCAAGAAATTTTCCCCCATAGGCAAAGTACCCTGCCTAGCTCTTCTGGTGTTTGAAGAGAATAGAGAGGTTGTATCGGTTCGGTAATACACTGAAAGATAATTCCATGTAAAGGTATTTATTAAAGAAGTATTTACCTCCATTGTAGAGGGCAGCACGACGCCTCCTCGACGCCCCGCGCCCTCTCTATCATCCTGCAAATAACAAAACAAATACTAGGTAAGTAATTTAAAAAACAAAAAACTTTGCCCCACGCTAGGATTTTCTCCTGTGTCGTGGGTGCGGTTATAAACATACAATATCAGATACACATCACACCCAGACCCGGAACAACAATTTGTGGATCACACAAAGAGCTGTTCCGTGCGGGTATCGAACACGCGACACGTTGTACGATAGCCAGTTGCCCAGCCACCGCACCAACCGTGCATTCGATGTCGTCGTGTCAGTTGTGCACCAACCGTGATGATGATGACATACGAAGCGGTTCGACTCTAGTTTTATAATCAGAACTGCTAAGGAGTGGAAGTCTTTGCCGGAGTCTGTGTTCCCCGAAGGGTATAACCTGGGTGTGTTCAAGGCCCGAGTGCATAGGGGTAGGCGTGCTCCATCGTAGGTAGCATCATCGCTTGCCACTAGGCGCGGCCACATGCCTGCCCATTAAGAAATCAATAATAATGTCAAGTCAAAGCATTTGTTTCTATCTATACTAATATTATAAAGAGGTAAAATTTGTAAGTTTGTATGTAGGGGGTATTCTTTGGATTGCCAAAATTCTTTCACTTATAGATAGCTACACTGTTCATGATTGCTAAAGGCTATAAAATATTACGCTACGATTAAAAGGAGCCGAGCAGCGGGTGAAACCGAAAGTAGCTAGTACCTACAATATAAAAAAAAACACACAAAAATGAAACTTAACGAAAAATAATTTGGTTTTTTTTTTCTTCCGAAAATCCATAGACAGATAGACTACAAAGGAGTTTGACAGTTGTACAAATGACAACTATATCATGTCAGTCGTTTCAAGAGAGAACTCATCATGGAACTTGGCACGGTAAAATGATGACCGGAAACATCGACCTAGGTCGTGCGCAGGTACACAAGTATGCGAGCACATACCACTAGGTACATAGAATACATATAATAAGACAGCCGACCTTGCCCGAGGGCGAGATACACAAGGAGAAACCAATTCAATAAATTGTAATTTAAATTTATGGATAGAAAAAAAAATTGGAGAAGGAAGAGGATGGTTTTTAGTCAGTAGGATGCATTTTGGAGAGTGTTCTCAGGAATTGCACAATTTGATTCCGCCATCCCAATTTCACCTTCGGACATCCCGGCGTACGGCGAATATCCACCCCTACGTTGTTGAGACACCTGCGGCCCGGACTGCAACGTTTTGCCTCGTCATTTATACCGCGTACATCGAGGGATTGGAACAGTTTGCCGGCTGCAGTCTTTCCGTCCGAATACAATTTAGGTGTCTTCAAGGCTAGAGTGAATAGGCTCTTAATAAACTAGTGCGCCTTACCATCAACGATTGCATCACTGCTTACCATCAGGTGGGATCGCAGTCAAGTACTAGTTCATTGCAAGTAAAACAAAAGTAGGAGTATGAGAATAGTGATTCAAATATTGTCGATGACTTTCATATCATCCAATCAACATACAATTGCCAAAATTCCTGCTTTTTATTTGTACTCGTAAAAGCGGCAAACGCGTTGACCCTGACCTGATTGTAAGCAATCAGTGCCGCCCATGGACACCTCCAAACTCAGAGGAGGACGTTAAAAGGGCGTTGCATGCAGCTCTGGGGATTGTGTGTATTTAGAGATTGGGGTGGGATGAGGTACGGCAAAATTGAACCTCTGCTATCATCTCAATTTTTAAAGTGTGGGAGAGCCATGCTTCAGACGAATGGGTCGGCTCGACCGGAGTGATACCACGGCCTCACAGAAAACCGGCGTGAAATAACCACTGCGTTGTGTTTCGCCGTGTGAGTGAGGTTACCGGAGGCCCAATCCTTCCCCTTCCCGGACCCTTCCCCAATCCCTAAATCTCCAAATCCCTAATCCCTAAAAGGCCGGCAACGCACTCGTAACTCCTCCTTTGCGGGTGTCCATGGGCGGCGTTGATTGCTTACCATCAGGTAATCCGTCTGCTCGTTTGCCTACTTATTACATTAAAAAAAAAATCACTCATACGGCGAAACTGAGCGACACAACGCTGTGGTATCACGGCGGTGTTCTGTGACATGTAATATCACTCTGGTCTAGCCAACCCATGACTCTTCCATATATAAATGATGATACAATAATAAAAACTTATTTAGTTATGATTTTTAGTTAATTTAGTATGTCTCACGATAGTTATCATAAAAATAATAAGAAGTGTGTGTAATTCAGATACTTAGATTTCATAACCAACATTTTTTTGGGACAATCCCTCCACAACCTCCCTAAAACACTGCGACTCCTGTGCACCAGGATCCAAGACAACAACATACAACCATGAAAACACCGAAACACTGAAGTCACGTTCCAGGGACATGAATGTCTACCTTGGATCCCGCAACGAAATAAATCAGAAGACATTATCATTATTGAGGAGGAGAAGAAAAAACGAAACAGTCTCCACCAAAACGTTTTAAGTGTGGGAGAGCCATGCTTCGGCACGAATGGGTCGGCTCGACCGGAGTGATACCACGGCCTCACAGAAAACCGGCGTGAAATAACCACTGCGTTGTTTCGCCGTGTGAGTGAGGTTACCGGAGGCCCAACCCTTCCCCTTCCCCAATCCCTCCTTAATCCCTAAATCTCCAAATCCCTAATCCCTAAAAGGTCGGCAACGCACTCGTAACTCCTCCGTTGCGAGTGTCCATGGGCGGCGCTGATTGCTTACCATCAGTTAATCCGTCTGCTCGTTTGCCGACCTATTACATAAAAAAAAAATGCTTAAAATTCGAATTCATCATTCCCTGAAATTTCTGTCTACTACTAAGCATGTTCCACAACTAACAAATCGTCCAAGCTGACCGTCCGCACGTCCTCTCACCGACATCGCTAACTGTATCGTGGGAACCTAACATTTGCGCTTTCACTACATCGCAAATGACTTTGTGTAACTGAATTTGTTGTAACCTTGCTATAGACTTCGAGGAGGCACGATAATATCTTGTCTGTATGTTTAAACACCGTAGGTACAGGTGAATATATTTTTAATTGATATATACGAGTACCTTATGACAAGCTATCAGCGCCAGCCATGGTCATTCCCAACAACAGAGGAGTTACGGGTGCGTTTCCGACCTTTTGGGGATGAGTGATATGTTAAAGAAAGGGGGAGGGGAAGGATTGGGCCTCCGCTAACCTCACTTTTATTTTATGTGATGTCGGCAAACGAGCCGCGTATTACCTGATGGTAAGCTATCAGCGCCGCCCATAGACACCCGCAACAACAGAGCAGTTACGAGTGCGACGCCAACCTTTATGGGATTGGGGATTGGAGATTTGGAGATTTAGCGATTGGGGACGAATGGGGGGAGGGGAAGGATTGGACCTCCGGTAACCTGACTTACACGGCGAAACACAACCACGCCGGTTGTCTTCGAGGCCGTAGTATCCAACCCATTCGTGCTGAAATATGGCTCTACCACACTTCACCACACGAAGATGTACGAGTATCTTTGTTGCAGCAGACAAGTTTAGTAAGCTATGCAGTATGCAGTTGAGGTTCAGCCTGTTAAATAAACCGGGGTTGTGGGGCAAGCGCATTGAAGCACCGCGGTCTCGGCCTAGAGCAGGAGAAGGAACGGGGGGTTTTTAGTCAGTAAGAACCTGATCTCTCCCGCCTTAACCCCTAGCCGGGAGACGACGATTTCCCTTGACAAAAAAAAAACCTGTTTAATAAACGATATCGCAATACAATTTTGGAACTCCACTTATAAAATGTATGGATCCGGGCGAAGGCCTATTCGCAATACATCGGAGACTATTTCATACTGTGCTATTACTAAGAAATTAGCCAAATTAGCCAACGTAGTAAAATGGCCATTATCTATTAATTACAATTGAGTTAGCAATGTTAAATTAAGATCACGGATTCTTATTTTAAAAAGGAACTGGAATAGCGAACGTCCTAGCGACACTTTATCCGTGTCTTTATCCTATAAAATATTAACTCAAAAACATAACTAAATCAATCGAAACTAGTTTCAGAACAAATAAAATAACATGGAAGATGCGCAGGCGCATAGTAACACCGCCATCTTGCGGCCTTCACCTAGTGGCAAGCTCATCCTATACAAGTTAACCTCAACTTGTTGGCTCACTTATTAATATTAATTAATCATTAAGAGCAACTCCGTCCATTATATAATTACAACCTGCAAACTAGGACTTTTTTAAGGGAAATCATCATATTCTACTTCTCGTCCTGGGTAGGACTAAAGGGCATGTCAGACTCTTACTGACTAAAAACCATACCGTTCCTTCTCCTGCTTTGGACCAAGGCCGCGGTGCCTCATTGCGCTTGCCCCGCATCCTCGGCTGAACATCAGCATTATAGGACCCCATCTGTGATGGTCTTTTTTTTTTTTGTGAGGGGAAAATCATCAAATGACTTCTCCCGCCCAGGGCCGGGCAGGAGGGAGTGTCAGACTCTTACTGACTAAAAACCCCCCTGTTCCTTCTCCTGCTCTGTGCCGAGGTCGCGGTACCTCATTGCGCTTACCCCGCAACCCCGGCTGAACATCAGCCCTTTAGGGCCCCGTCTGTGGTGGTCGAATGGCTCTTTGAGGCGCGCGCGGAACGCTACGCGCCGTACGCTCGGGCCTGGTTCTGGTCGGGCGGCGAGCTGCTTACTCGCCGACCGCAGGCCCGTACTTACGGTGGCCGGAGATCGTCCCTCGATCCCCGATGCCCGTAGTGTCGCCAGTTGCGGCTGCTGGGGCGCGAGGAGGAGGATTGCTCCCTCACGCGGGCCGCCTCTCTCTTTGCGAGCATGACTGCTTCACAAAAGGAGGAGACGGCGTCCCAGTTCCTCTCACTCCGCACCATGGCCTCGACTAAGGCCGGGCGCGAGAGGTCGCCGCCGCCGATCACTTCCCTGAGGATACGGCGGTGCTCAGCCCAGGCAGGGCATACCGCTACCGTATGCTCCACCGTATCCTCTAGGTGGTCCTCA